TGCTGTGAGCGTGATGCCATGGCACTCTACCCAGGGGGGATAGCTTGAGGCTCTGTCTCAAAAAAAAAAAAAAGAATCTAATGGAGTAACATGTTTGATAGATAAGGAAATTGGCTGAAAAGTTAAAGAGCCACCAAAGTCACACTGCTGTCAGCAGCAACAATAGGATGGGCACACACCTGATGGCCTCATGTCTGTAGTCTCAGCTACTTGGGAGGCTGAGGCAAGAGAATTGCTTGAGCCTAAGAGTTTGAGGTTGCTATAAGCCATGATGCCAGGGGACTCTACCTAGGGCAACAAAGTGAGACTCTGTCTCAAAAATAAATAAATAAATAAACGATGTGGGGGGGCGGTGAAGTACTGATACATGTAACAGTATGGATGAATCTTGAAAAAATTTATGCTAACTGAAAAAAGCCAGTCACAAAAGGCCACGTATTATATGATTCCAATTATATGAAATGTCCAGAATAAGCAAATTTATGGATGCAAGAAGTAGATTAGTGGTTGCTTAGGACTGGGGGCATTTGAGAGGAAATAGGAAGTGACTGCTAATGGGCATGGGATTTCTTTCTGGGGTGAAAATGTTCATGTGGAAATGAAAACCATGATGGTTGTACAACTCTGAATGTACTAAAACTACTGAATTTGTCACTTCAAATTAGTGAACTATATAGTATGTGAATATTATCTCAGCCATTAAAAAGTCTGGGGAAGCGTTTTAGGGGTCAGGATACTCTGCATGCAGCCACTGGGTCTGGGGAGCACAAAGATCCACTTCAGGAAACCCCCCTTGGTGCCCCCACCATGTCCTCTAAGACAGGAGGAGTGCCACCACAGGCCTCACGTAGTCTGGGCTAAAGGGCCAGGTCTCCTAGCATCACCTGAGTGCCCGAAGGGTCTGTGCTGCAGGGGATGCCCCAGGGTCTGCAGGGATCCAGATATCCTTGCTGTGGGGGGAGGAGACCAATGCTCCTTATCTTCTCATTCCCTCCACAGACATTGTGAGTTCCACATTCATCTCCATTTAGGAAAGAGAGTCAGAGAACAAAGGTGACATGTGAGCTGAATGTTTGACAAATGAGTGTGAGCTCCTCATGGAGTTAAGTGATATGTTGGGGGTGGCAGGAAGGAAAATAATATAGCAAGAGACAGGCCAGCACTTCCACAGTTTTTTGTCTTCCTACCCCAGGACATTTAGAAATTGGAGTCAACTCATTCATTGAGCCTCTGCTTTGCTCTGAACTGTATGGGGGGCATGTAGAATACAGCTATTAACAAGACAGACTCTTGGGCAGAAAAATAGCTGTGACATTTGCACAGCTATAATAGGGGAGGGGAAGCAGAATTCAGTCCACAAGCAGTGAAGATGGAAACCTTAATGTCTTCCAAGAGGTTCATTTATTTACTTGGCAAGAATTTATTGAGCAGCTTGTGTGTGCTGAGGCACTGTGGAAAGAGCAAACAAGACAGATGAGCTCCTGCCCCCTCTGTGCTCTAATAAAGAAAATGAACATTAATTGAACAGTTATAAATATATAGTTACAAACTGGGGCAAAAGTTATGAAGCAGAGGTACTCAGTGAGGATCTACTAGAGAGCGCGGCCTTTCTTAAGCCCAGAAGGGCCTTTTCGGAGGGTGAACGTCCAATGTGAGCATCACAAGAAGAGAGCGTAGCCCACAGCTCTGAGTCTGGAGGAAACAAGGTGAGAAGAGTGTGACTGAGACTGGAGAAGTATGCAGGGACTGCACCCCAGAGTCTGCCAGATCATAGTGAGGATATGATCTTTGTTCTGAGAAAATCAGGGCAGCATTATGACTGTATCAGCCAACTCACCACGAACACAGTTCTCAGCCAGGGGCTGTACCACCCCCTAGGGGGCATTTTGGAGTGTTGTGGAAACTTTTCTTTTGGCCGAACGATTAGGACTATATTATGTAATATACACCTTTTATTCATTTCAGGATAGTAATGAGGACGGTGTAAAATACTTTATATCCTAAAAGGACATTTTGTCTGAAGTAAGATGGAAAGAACCTGCCCGGGCTGGGTGGCACTTGGATGTAGGACCCTGGGGAGAATGCGCTAAGTTTTCTGGCTGGAGAATGGGTCCTAAAGGTCCTCCAGGATGCCTGGGCGGTTCTGGGCTTCCCTTTGG